CTTTGGTGTACACATTCTATCTCATCTCAACAAACAGGACTTGCACTTCTCATTAAAAGGACCCCACAAGAAGTCACGCATTAGACACTCAATTCTTTTAGCCACAACTCGCAGCATCTGCAGCATTGACATCAGATAAATTGGTAGATTAGCTAAACAAGCTTTAATTAGCATAATCCTACCTCCCAAAGAGAGATACTTTGGTTCCCAAATATCCAACTTGCATTAAACTCTCTCAGTAACCTTATTCTATGCGGAGACTAGGAGCCTCAAAATAAAAATAGGCATGTTGAGATAGGTAAACAAAAAGGAATCAACTTTATAGCCCAAACAAGCTGCCAATGAGGCCACCAAATTATCATCACATCATATCCCAATTAAAGAAATTTTGGCGAAGTTCACCATAAGACCCAATGCTTCGTCATAACATATGAGAAAAAGACATATATTGGTTAATTGAACTGGGTCCGCTTTGGAAAAATGATAGTAATATCTACATATTTAAGATTTGAGATGAGTGGACATTCCTAAACCACCCTAAATCCTTGAAAATGCCCCATCTCTTCAACATTTTGAAGCATAAGACTTAAGCCCTCTATATAAAGGGTAAGTAGGAACTGAAAAAAAGGATCCCTTGCCGAAGACCTCTATAGATGCTCGAAAAAAAAACTTTTGGGCTGCCGTTGGTCAAAATGGAAAAATGCGCCAAGGAAAGGGATCCCCAAATCCAATGCCTCCATTTCGATCCAAACCCATTCATACCCTCCAAAAGGACCTTCCATTCAACCCTATTTTACGTTTTTTCCCTATCCAACTTAACAACCACCAATAGATCCCCACTCAAAAGCCTCGAATGAATACATTCTTGCGCCATCAATACATTATTCATAATGAGCCTATATTGGATAAAGGTCATTTGCTCAGCAAGCAATTTAACCACAATCTTATAGACGCTAGTTAACAAGCTAATAGGTCTAATGTCACTAAGACTAGCAACGACAAATTTTTTAGAAATTAAGGAAATGTATATAGAATTAACTCCCTTAAACAAAATCCCTCTAACCACAAACTTTTTGACCATATCCAAAAGTTCTCCACTAATCACATCCAAAAATTTCTCAAAAAAGAATAAAAGAAATCCATCTGGACTTGGTGTTTTATCCCCAAGGAGAAAATACTACCACTTTGAGTTCAACCCTAGAAACATCATTTTCCAATTGGTAAGCAATATGACTAGGTAGAGTTCTAAAGTGAACATCTCCCATATTATCCAGGTGATCTCGATCGGTTCCCAAAAAGCTGTACTTGGTCTTGCTAAGGAACTTCCACTGAAATACAATTTGAAATATTCAACTTGTGGTGGCATCCATCCATTTGCCAAGGAACTTCCCCTGAAATTCAATTTGAAAGAATCAACTTGTGGTGGCATACATCTCTGAGCCTTGCATTCCTCCACTGCATATTTACCACTTTATTGAGTTTATACATCAAGTCTACTCTAGAAAATTACAATTTCACAGTGAGTAAAAAAAAAAAATCAAATTATAATTTATTCAAAAACAAGTTTAAAATTGGAACTTTTTGAAAGCAGTTTTAGTTTCAACGCTTCGCTTTTCACATTGGCATTACTAAAACCAAGTGTGAGATGTAATTCGATGAATTTCCTTTTAATTAAAATTTTTTACTTTCATCCCAAATGCAGTACATGCACATGTTTTTAATTGCTACCAGCAATTTAGGTGGTCAAATTAGCAGATAGCTCAAAATTCAAACTATTTATTGCAAAAGTTTAATGGCCAAAAGTAATCGTTTAGATAAAAAATTAAACTTTGAATTTTAATTAACCGTTTATAATTATAATATTACTTTGCAAATAGAGTTATGAAATGTCAACTTTTCTGATTTTTTCTGAGTTCGGTTTTTTTGTGACTTAATTTAATTTTTTGAAAAATTAAGCCTTATTATTAATTCAAATAGTGAGGAATTTTTAGTCAAGGTGTACTTATAAATTTTTATTATTGCAAAAAATTTAATGTGCCCAACCTTTTTGGTAAAACCTTGATTTTCAAATCTACAATGGAAATAATTAACTATTTTATTTTGAATTAGTAAAGAAATATAATTTTCAATTGATTTTGATCACTATAATTAATATATAAAATTTGACTATAAATTATTTGAATTAATAATAATGCTTAAATTTTAATTTTAATTATCATTATAATGTAGATCACAATATAAAAAAAAAAATGTTAAGCTATGAATCATAATGAACTATTTGTATTTTTATTATCACATCGCAATTGGAATTATAAAATGCTAGATGTTGAGTCTAAATAATTCTTTATATAATGATAATTAAGAGGGCCCTTGTTTTTATCATAGTTTTGAAGTCAGATTTCACTCAAAAGGCGTGGCACATAATAATTTTTAAATTTGTACTAATAAAAATTGTAATTCATTGAGAGTAAAAAAAAAAAATTACAGTAAAATCCAACAAATATAGTGTTATTAAGCATTCCCCCAAAAATTTTCAATTTCACTGCCCCTTATTTCTCTTTGTCTTTTATTCCAATAATATTGACAAAGCTATTTTATGATTTTGAATCTTGAAGATCCGAAATCATAAATGTTTTTATTTTCTCGAATCTTGAAAATACAAATGGTGGCAATTTAGGGGAAAAAAGGAAATCTACATAAAATAGAAAGGAAAAAAAAAGGAAAATATTTATATACATCTTATTTTAATGTACTATTTCCCAATAGATCGGATTTTTAAAAGGTTTACGATGGCATATATATCCCAAAAACATATCTTCTAATCGCCTAGACTTGGTTTGTCCCTTTTGATTATTTTTGCCCAAACAAAGTTAAAAAAGACACCTTTATCTATTTCTTTTTATGAACCTCTCTCTTGCTCTATTTCTCTCTTTATAACGTTTATTTTTTACCTATGGAGTTCATAAAGCGATAGAGATAGAGATAAAGAGAGAAAGGGCCAGGGAGAGGGAGAGGGAGAGGGAGAGAAAGACATTAGAGAGAGAGAGGTTTAGAAAAAAAAAAAAAGATAGATGTATCCCTTTTAACTTTGTTTAGGCAAAAAAAGTACGTTCAAAAGAGATAAACTAGGTCTACGAAGTTAGAAGACATGTTTTGATCTCTATACCGCCATAAATTTTTTAAAACTGTGCCAGTTGAAAAATGGTATATGAAAATAGGATGTATGGAGATATTTTTCTCAAAAAAAAATTTTTTCTTTTACTATTTTAGAGGAAAGAGGCTTTAATAATACTAATATGGGAAATAATTTATCTAAAAAATAATTCTCAAATGGAATTGTATACAATGAGATCATTTACTTTTGGTATAAAAAGGTCACAATTACTTACAACCATCTGATATGAAATTTGGTATCTTAGGTATGTTACAAAATTCGAAAAACATTCTGCTAAACTTTGAGCTTGGTCAATAAAATAAATGCAACCACCAAATTTCACATCCAATGATCAAGATTAATTGTGACCATGTTGTACAAAAGGTAAGTTGTCTCATTATATACTTTCCATTCTCAAATTTATAAATTAATAAAAAATATAAAATTAAACTCATAGTTTTAAATACATGTTTTTTAGGGTGATACAATAAGATATTAGGATAGGGTAGTTACCTTTCTATTATAAAGGAGTTAGAGAGAAATTTCCACTCTAAATATTTAAAAACAAGGGGACAACTCTATTACTGTTCCTATTACATATATAAGACATTCTCTTCTCAATCTTAGGGTGTTACTTTTCAAGGCACATATGAGTAGAGTGTATACAATTTTTTTTTAAAGGATTGGTAGGTCCTAAAATTAGTTCTCATTGAGGTTAACCTCATGGTCATTGGGTCAGGACCACCGTTTGGGTGATGAAAAACGGTTCACAAGAATCATTTGGAGTTGCGAATCTTGAGAAAGAGAGGCAAAAGATGGAACAAATGAGGTTAATCTTTACATAATTTTTTAATAAAGGGTGCGGTTTGATTAGAGCTGAGGCTATAAACAATCAAAGCAGAGCACACCTTCAAATAGTGTCGAGAAATGTGGCTTCAATACTGAAAGTCTTTGTAATAGCGTTAAAATATATTTTCATCTCTAATTATAAAATTTAAAGCTTAAAAAATAATGTAGATTGAGAAGATCTGTAAAAACTTGGAAATCTTGAAAGTTGACAATCCAAAAATATATTACAAGATGCACTATTTCTAAAACTTGAAATTCATTTTTCTCATGTCCAGATATTTGGGCATCAAAACAACCTTTTTTAGTGAAATTTTTGAAGTGCACTCTAATTTGATTGTTTAGAGCCTCGGCTCTATATAAACCCTTTTTTTTAATAAATTCAAACATTTCCCTAAATTCAATTATAATCCAATCTTTCTTTTTCTTACCTTTATTGAGATTTTGAACTTGATTATTTTTTAAACTCAACTCTATGCATCGTTGTTTTTTTTTTTACTTTCCATATGATGCATATTATTAAGGACATGACTAGCATACAGCCAAGTCCCCTATGTAGAAATGTATGCTTAGCAATAAATATATTTTTTAAATATAATTTGATTCTAATTTTTAGAGTATATATAATCTTTAATATGCTGATCATGCAAAAAAAAATATGAAAACTAAAAATAATAATTATATTAAAAAAACATATGGACTGTTAATTGTAATTGTTTTTAGATGAACCACCTATTCACATCTATCTTTAAAATCGATGTTTTATACCTCTGGACCGCATATTGTAAAAATGCAGTCCAACCCACATGAAACAATTGTTCTATTATTAAAGCAAAATGTCGTTCTTTCTCAAAAAAAAAATTGATAATTAAACTTGCTTACTTTCTACTTATAAAAGAATGTTAAATCCTGGAAGGCAGTTTAATCATTAAATGTACAAATCTTTTGAAAGCTCGATAGATAGCTAGAATTAGCTATGAGAAAATTTACATGTCTATATTTTACTCTATACACTGTCAATTGATATAGTAAACCATGCCCAATTTACGTGCCTCAGCTAGTTTTCATAATATACATTTTTCATATCTATGTACCGTGGCTCCATGTATTTTGGACTAGGACGGGCTTGAGTTTTAGATTCGAGCCCAAGTCTGGTCCAAATTCAGATTTTTGGGTCCAGGCCCATCCAAAATAAATCCAGGCTGGACTTGCTCGAGTTCTTGTCCAGCCCTATGCACATGGCACACAACACCCAAAGATTTCCATACCCAATTCAGCAAAGTAAGTTTTTTTCCTTGTTGCCACCCTCAGACTTCACTTGACGTTATGGCTTTCATTCTCAGTGCGACCATCATAAACCGCTAACCATTTCAAAAATTAGTAGTCTCTATTCCCATTGAATTACCCCAAAAAAAAAAAAAACAAACAAACTAGCAAAAGACCACAAATGTCCAAGGAAACTTGCAGGGAATCTCTGCAAAACAAACATAGAATCAAGCGAAGCATCTGGTGGATATCCAGACATGGCTTTCAAGCTCCAACCTCATGAAAAAGAGCACTAACTCAATATTGGAAAGAGCTGGTCAATTTGCCTTCACTAACTCAATATTGGAAAGAGCTGGTCAATTTGCCTTCCAGCTACAAAGAGTTGTTGTGGTCCTGTGTCACCTTCAATGTATTTCATTATGTTAGCATCGTACCCGATCACACCTCGGCTTATGGCCTTCCCAGTGTCAACATTATACAGAGATATGTTTCTCGAACCTTGACCAGGTGTAGCAACAGCCTTTCCATTGTCAATAAACACAGGTTTGTAGATGCGGTAGCAGGTCCTGATATTGGCTGAAACATGACCCTCAAGCTTATGAAGAGGTTGGCTGGGGGCTCTAATGTCGTAAAGAAGCAAGTATGGGTCCTTGCTTGCTGAAAGGAGGATGGACTCATTTGATGGGCACCATTTGGCCATGTTGACACCAGTGGAATGGTCCGAATCAATGAAAAGAGAACAAGGCTGCTCAGACATTCTCTTATCCAGAATGCAAATTCGGCCATCTGCTCCACAATCAGCAAGCACATTTACGTCCCTGTGAAAGATGTCCCAGGGGATTTTCAGGGTTGGAAAACAGGTAATGGGATTCCTCAAAGCTCATGCACATTTCCAGTCTACATTCATCCTTTTCGAATACGGCACCTCAAGATGAAGCTTTTAAAATGCAAATGATTGATCCTGTTGCTCTTGAAGCAGTTCATTTGAATAAAGATGCATTTATGTACAAGTCAAGAGTGCGAGCACATGTAAGATTTGCATTACAAAGCTTGCAGTTGAATCAATGCAACTATTAAGGTAAAGGACAAGTGGCGAAATTGAGTTAGAACTTTCCCATGTAATAATTGCTTACATAATAGTAAACAAAGGGTGAGGTTTGCATGAGGTTGCAACCCTTATTTTTTGAAAAAAGATAACTTGTATTAAGAGTAAGGAGAAGGTATACAAAATAGCAAAATAGGACCCTATTTATAGGTTCAGGTGAATACAAAAAAGAAAATAAGATACAAAATTCCGTGCAACATTCTGTGCATTCTCAATCTGAAAATTCGAGACTGTAACTGTGTACAAAAATGATTTTATGTACCAAGCTCAGTCGAAGCTGCTGCTTCCTCTTTAGCAAAGGTATCATCCAGTGAATTTGCTTCTCGCCAGATGTGAGTCCAGGAAGCTTCAATTGGGCTGATAATGTCGAAGATTTCATCAAAGTTGTGGACTAGTCTCCAAGGAGGATCAATAAAGCCTGAGACCCGATGATGGATTTGGAGTCTCTTTCAATTGCAATCTGATCTCCCCAATCTGGTCTATACACCCTCATACAGTCAAGTAATGCAACAGCCTCCGCTGATGTGCTATCATTGATATCAATGTGTTTGGAGAGGGAGCAAATGATATGACCGGAGTGGTCCCTGAACAGGCCTCCGACCCGGGTAGGTCCTGGATTTCCTAGGGAACATATATCAATGTTCAATTTGATCTATCCCGGTTGGGGGGCTCCATTGCGAGGCCCTAGCCACCCTCGGGGTGGAAAGGTGGCACAATTGGAACCAATTAAGCTAGTAATCTGAAGTGGAATAAGCTCTAAATCGCTTAAGGTTCTTGGTCCAGAAGATGACAAAAGGATAACACGTTCTCCTTGATGCTAGTTGCTGAATTACTTTCACCTCTGAAAGTTCTATGGTTTTTTTTTTATCCAAATGGACCACAACAAGATGACAGAGACTGTGGCCTTCCATAGTATGGCACCTGCCTTGGGCCAAGGGAAGGATTGTGAAAGGTTAGAAAGGCCAGGGACTGACTGAGGGGTGACCCAAACCCAACTAAAAAGTTGAAGAATTTGCCCCCTAAGGAATTTGGCCACCAGGCAATGGAGGGATAGGTAGGCATTAGTCTCTTTGTAATTGTGGCACATGGGGCAATGGTTGGGAAGTGGGATGCCTAGCTTTTGAATTTGATCCACAGTAAGCACCCTTTGGTAGAGAGAGAGCCAATTGAAGATTTGAAGCCTTGGATGAATAAAGGTTAACCAGGCTTTGGCCGAGGTGGGGAATTCTTGAAGAGGGTTGTAAGAAGATGCCGCACTCAAATAACACGAAGAAACTGTGAAAGACCCATGGGAGTTGGGGGACAAAATAAGTCTATCTGCGCCCGCGTGAGGATGGTAAATGGTTTGCAGTAAGGCTTGGAGCTGGAGGAATGACCCAACTTCTTGGTCTCGCTCGAAGGGTCCGTCTAAAGATGGGTGACATGGAACGACAGGAAATAGTTGGGAAATTGGTTAAGGATGGAGGCATCTCTGCCAATAGCAAGCAGAAATAGGTCAGGAAAGGAGTCCCTCACAGGGGTGTGACTGACCCATATGTCATTCCAAAAGAGTGTGCAGCTACCACTTCTTGGGAGAATGCGAGAATGTGATTTGAAAAGGTCGTAGCAGCGCATGTTAGAGCGCCAAAAGCCAGAGGAGAGGCCATTGGCCTGGCATGGGGGCATCCATCTGGTAGGATGGATACGATAATTACTATGGAGGACCTCCTGTCATATGTGTCCCTTTTGGGTGAAAAGTTTCCATCACCATTTGGAGAGGACAGCAGAATTTGTGTCTCTCAGGTTTTGGATGCCCAAACCACCTAAAGGATTTGGCCTACACACCTTGTCCCAAGCGACAAGGTGAATTTTGTTGGTTGTACCAACTCCTGACCACAAGAAGTTCCTTATAAGCTGTTCTAGGCAGGCTGCGATCAAGGCCTGGATGTGGAACAAGAACATTAGGTAGATTGGGACGTTCGAGAGCGTTGCCTTAGTTAAAGTAACTCTCCCGACAGAGAAACATTAAATTGAGCCAGTGTTCTCAAAATCGAATTGGAATGGTTAACCGGACATGGGCTTGAAAGCGGTTTAACCAGCCTAATCGGTAAACCGGTCGATTCAACCGTTCTACCCGAGCAAGTCCCGAACGTCAAAAAAGTGTTGAAAAAAAAAAGTACAAAAAATACAAAAAAAAAATCTACTAAATATGATAAATATATAAACAATGATTAAAACAAAACACATTCAAATGAAGTTGAAAATTAATGAAAAAAATGGATTTTAACCCATTTTATATTTTCCAATTGCTATTTTTAAAATTTTCTAAAAAAGATACGAATATATAAAAGAGAGTATCAATGACCAAAACAATATTTAATCGTTACCATAATGTAAAGAATATTTAAAAATGCATTACAAGTCAAATTCCTTATTTTTGATAACTTATCTATATTTTTCTGAATTTTTTTTAAAAATACCGGTTGATCACCCTAACTACCGAAAACAATGGCCAGTTCCGATCTAACCAGGCGGTTAACGATTAGATCGGGCGATTTTGCAAACAATGAATTGAGCATAGAAAAATAAATATGACGTAAAATCCCACAACCTAGGATTTTAGCTGTAGGGCTGTTAAAATAAATCATGAGTCCAGCCCAAAACAATATAGGGTAGGCCCAAACCCAACCTAGGCCTGAAAATTTAGTTTGGGGCCCGATTTCATATTAATGAGACCTGGGCCCTAAAAAATCAGGCCCAGACAGGTCCTAAATAAAATAGAAAAAAAAATTCATATATTAACTTATATACTTAAAAAAAAAATTCGGGTGGAATCCAACAGCCCGCGGGCCCTAATATGTGGCCCAAACCTGATCTGCGATTGGGTCAGCCCAAAATCCCGTAGGCCAGCCCAGGCTAGTTCACAGCCCCATTTAGTTGCCCTAGTTATCAATTAATAATGCTAAAACTAGGATCTTACATATATTATGAACCCTACAATTCTTACATATATTAGGAACAGTGCATGATTTTCCCATATTAGGGTTTTCTTGATCTTAGACTTACATAATGTTATGTCAAGTTTATCTTTATAGAGTTGTCATATGTACCACTAGGCTGAAGTGTCTAGCAGTTGTGAAACATCTTAGACACCACACGACGGTGTCTATGTAACACTACTGATTTCACCTCTAGTAGGCCAGCTGGGACTGGGCTGGTCAATTTTTCTTATCTGATGATTCGTCTAGTCATGGAAATATCAACCAAGAAATAAGTTCAAAAAGAATAGTCCACAAATAACAAACAAAAAAAAGACCAAGTTCTTATGTAACACTTAAAGAAGAAATATCTCAAAGATATGATCTCTACAAACAAGAATAGTTTAATAGAAGATGACAACTGAGAAAGAAATATAGAATGCATTAAGTAAACAAAGGGCTACATGAACAATGTCTCATGATTACCTCCACAGTGCATTGCTGGCAGCTAAACATGCAAGTTCTAGTGACCTTTGAACAGAATGATGTGGAACGGGGAAATCAAGAAGTTACCACCCCAAACCCATGGAAAAAGGATTATGCCTGTGCTGTGGAGGGCTATGCCATGCCGCTACCACTAAGGTAAATATCTAAAAAAAATGATCATTTCATACCTAATTTCAACTTTATGGCTTCTGCTCTTGAACAAAGCCAGCCACAGAATTATCACATCACCCATCCTAATTGCTTTTAGAGAAACCCTCAAGGATACACCATAAACCTAAAGTTAAATAGTGCTTCTAAAAGAGTAATAATACAACAGTTGCCAAGAAGGCCTTATACCCTCCCAAATTCAGAACAAAAAATTAATAATAATGATAATTAGAATAATAGGAAACTCAGCTTTCATATTTGGTACAAAAAATTAAAATGTTGGGAAGCAACAGTGTCTTATTTCTTGCAACACCAAAAAACAGCTGTCTCTCTCAACAGCAGAAAGAAGAACGCTCTCTAGCCACTAAGAACATGCATGATTTCCCACAATGCCAAAAGCAACCCCAACCACCATCATTTGAAGATATGATACTTATCCATCCAGTGTTCAATAATTGTCAACATGATTCTACTCCTAGCAACCCTATATTCAAGAGAAGATTATTATTTTTTAAGGCTCAATTTTGAACCTCACTCCATAAGCAATATTCTATCCTCTAAGCGAATGGCTCTCTCATATTTATACGAGCTCCAATCACTTCCAAAACCAGGCAGAGTTCTCAAACTCCCAAAGGAATATATCTTTCCAATAAGGATACCATAATCTTAATCATCATCATATCAGCTTGGCAGTACTAACAATTGAAAGAAATCCTCCCCGTGGAAAATTCACTGACCATTCCAGAGTGCAACCTACAGTAATTTCACCATACTGATGTTAGGACTATAGAATAATCTATTTTCATGACTAATAATTGCATTGAATGAAATGCCTCACCACATAACTCCCCTCAAGATTATCACCAAGTTTGGCCCACAGTACCTCCCTAAAAATGAATGAGTCATGAAACTGTTCCCACAGAATAGCCATCCAAATAAGAAGGCCCCATGCCATCACTTAATCTTATAGAGTGCAAAAGCCACCATTGTAGATACCTAAGCACACACAGATCATTGTATCCGTGAGCAAGTAGGCTTTAATCAATTACAGTCATTGTCATAATTTTCCCACGCAAGGATCAGCCGCAATTCATGGCATGTGAGATTCTCACTTTTCCAACTATTATACTTCTAGCCATGTTATCTGATATAATCGAATAAGTAATTATGGTTATGCAACCTCATGGCCACCTTGTAATGTAGCCCAGAGAATGCAAACAAGACAATGTACAAAGAACTGAACTTTCCCAATGTTGCAGTCGGTTAAGCTCCCCATACAAGGTACCAAAACACATTACCTATAACTAACCACTCTTCAATGGAGTCATCTGTCATAGGGCTGAAGGCAGCATTGGAAGTCCAAACACAAGGAAGACAAAGGAAGCAACCCAACTAAATCAGCACAAATCTTACTTGTTATAACCATCTTACTTATTATAACCTTACAACAACAACAACAGCAGCAGCAGCAGCAATAAATAAAAATATGTGTGTTGTAATTCTCGGTAAACCTCAAATCCTAGAACTACTGAGATGCATGAAGCAGAAGCATGGATGGCAGGCAGTAAGCTAGCCAAACTTCCCAGATTTAACATAGGCCACATGTCTTTGCAACATTTGGGACTCCATTTTCTACCAGATATGATAGCGCCGGCAAAATTTCAAAGCTTCACAGAAGGAACCACACATTCTCATTTACATGTATGCACATAACCACAAAGAAAACTAGGGGACGAGTATTCACTTTAAAATTGAATTAATTTATTAGCAGAAGCAACATGAGGTTGCTCTTTATAAGACATTTAAGCACAATATTTGACAAGCAAAAACCATACTTCGTGATCAGCATAGTGCAGTCTGGCCTACAGGAGTACTAATTTCAAAGCATCTTCCAAGTAGGCATTGTTGAAAGATGTACTTAAATAAGAGAATGCAGTCAATTGACCAATATACAGTAGGTTAATGCATTTTCCTACTGTCAATTGTAAGGAGTTATAATCCAAAAACGTGTACCAACAATGTCTACACATTGGTTTATGTGGTTCAAAACTGGCACCCATAACATCGCCTCATACAAGTGCATTACCAGGCCACGAATAAGAACCTTGATATTAATGACAACTACTCTCTACCATTTTTCTTTTTCTTTTTTCTTCCTTCTTTTTTCCTTTCCTGATGAATCTTTGACTATTTCTAACACATTACAATAGAACTTGCAGTTACTGCCTTGGCAGCAACATCAGCAATCTCTCTCCTCCCATAAGCTGAGAGTTTCATGTTCCTCTGCACGACTATTTCAACAAGTCTAATGTCACAAGACAAACCAACGCACAAATAGCAAAAGATGGAGACAAACAAGCTAAATTATTGTTTAGAGTGATATCAGCACTTCATTTCAAGAGACGAACTGATGCCATGATAGGAGAGGACAGAGATGAACAAGAAGAGAAACAACAACAAAAAGAGAAGATTGACAACAAAAAGAAAAGATTGACAGCAAAAGGCTACCTGAAAGAAATCCCTCTTACGGGTCCACAATGGTGACCCGATATCCTCCTCTCGATGACCATGCCGCCGCCACTAGAGCTGAGCCTGCACAAGGCAACAGATGAGTCTTTGGATGCAGTGCCATAAGAATCCTTCATGTGATCCATAGAGAACACACCACTCGAATGCACATCCCTCGACTCCCCAACCATTTGAGGAGAGCATCCTCCACAAATTCGTTTCCTCACATCCCACACTACAATTCCCCCGTCGTCGCAGCTTGAAACGAGCAACATTGGGTTCTCGTCAACAAATTCCACGCCTGATACCCAACTCATCCCACACTTCCAACTCATCAAAGGCCCTTCTAAGCTGTTCCCACCTTCTTCTCCCTCTTCCTCTTTTTCTTCACCCTCTCCTTGGAAATCAGTGGGAATGCCATAGACAGAGACATAGCCTCCATGTCCACCAGCAGCAAGTAGAGAAGCTTTTCTCTCTCCTCCAAGATGAGAGAAGTTGAGGGCGTAGATCTTGGTGAGCAGGGGATCAGAGAAGAGCTTACCCACCTTCTGGAAACCAGAGATAGAGCCAGAAACAGGATGGGGTGAAGGGAGGGTGCCACCTGCATGGCAACCATAATTGAACACTGATGAGTCTTCAAATACTAAACACCCTTCTTCCTTGGTGTCTTCTCCTTCTTCTTTAGAGGTGTCATTCTCTCCTTGATTGGGCAGCGAGCGTTTGCGAGTGCTTCTTCTAAGAGGGAGAGGAGAATCAACGGAAGCTTCAGGGGGCTTCTTGTTGGGTTTGGAGGTTTTCTTCCTCTTGTTGCATTTGTTGGGATTGAGAGATGGAAGGATGCCAAGTGAGTTCAAGAATTGGAGGTTTCTTTGGATGTTGTCCTGGCGTTCGCGCTCGTAATCATTCATTTGAATGACATTATCATCGCCATCAATGCTGTTGTTGCTACAGTCCTCATCGAGTCGAATATTATCATCAGTGGTGCCGATTTTGCAGTGGATTTGAATCTCATCGTTGTAACTGGTTGTGTTGTTGTTGGAGTTAGGGAGTGTCAGAAAGGCCTCATGGGTTTTGGTAGTTGTAGCGATTTCGGAAGTGGGGAAGAGGAAGGAATGGAGAGAAGACTGTTTCAATCTTAGTTTCATGGAGGAAGAAGCCATGATGATGACCTGCCAAAAAGGAGAGGGAGAGGTGAGACCACGCTTTAAAAATTAGTGCTCTCTCCCCCCTGCTGCTTCCATGGCTTCTAGAGAGGGAAGGTTAGTGAGAGGAGTGAGAAAGCGCGCGCATTTTGAAAATGGCAATTTGGCGCGGTACTCGCGAAAGAAGAAGACGGTGCACGATTCTAAGCGTACGTACGAAAGGCCCAAACGGCCCCTTGGGGAAAATTGTCTCAAGCCGGCTTGACCGCATTTCTAGACATGCGGTACACCGTATGCGGTCCACAAAGGTGTAAAGTTGGTGTTTCCTATAAAAACAATTGAAACTAATGGGCCAAATATTTTCTTACTAGAATTATTATTTTTAATTTTTAAAATTTATTTATTTTTTTTATATCATCTCCAAGTTAGAGATTACATGTTCTTAAAATTTAAGTCTTAAAATACGTCTCAACAACATATTTATTAAAAAACCCGCATTCTACATGTACGGGCAAGCCCATATAGAAACCCAATCTTTTGTTTAGGGAAGAAAATGGTACTCTATTTGTACCAAAAAGTAAAGTACACCATTTGTGTGCATAAATGAGTCCCCTCATAAAACTATGTTTATGAGATGAATTTTTGACCTACTTTTTAAGGATATAAAATCTTTAATATGGAGATCATGAATATTAATAAATAATAAATTTTAAAAATTAAAAATTTTTTAATCTTTAATATGGAGATCATGAATATAAAAAAGAAAAATGATCCTATAGGATCCTCTCCCACCTATGTGTGTAGGACCCCAAAGGATCACCATTAAATTTGACACGGATCTATAGAAAAGTCAAATCTCACACCCATGTGATAACTTTTTTAGAGATCCATACCAACTTTAATGGTGATCCTTTAGGATCCTACATACATGCGTGGGGGAGGGTCCTATAGGATCATTACCCTATAAAAAAATGAATAAATTTTAAAAATTAGTTTCAGTTGTTTTTGCTTTTTAGATTAACCACCTATATTTATGATGGATGCTTCATACCTTAGAGGACAAAATGAAGAAATGCATCTCCCGACGCATTGAACAATTTTCCAAAATAGTTTTTTTGTTTGTTTTTCTCTTTTGTGAAAATTTCTTATGGAACCCTAATTCATCATATTATTTCATGGTAGACCCTCCTTCCGTTTTTCTTTCAAGCGGCAAACCCCTAAAGATTTTACCATACCCCTTCATCTCTTATTTCCCTACTTTTGACCATAAAAATTAGCCCCAATAAATTTTTTTATACCATTTCAACCCAAAAACTTTATTAACCATATTTTTCCCTTTCTACCTATTAAAAATGTTTTTTGGTTGAAATGGTATAAAAAGATTTTTTGAGGTTAATTTTTATGATCAAAAGTCAATAAAAGAGGGAAATAGCAAATAAGGGCATATGGTGAAATCTTTAAGGGTTTCCTTATGCCCCTTGAAAGGAAAACAGAATGATGGTCTATCATGAAATAATATGAGGAATTAGGGTTCTATACGTTTTTTTTTTTTTTTTTTTTAGGGTTTTAGGGTTCAAGTTGTAAACAATATTCATATACAATTTCTACACACACACACACACACACACACATATATATATATATATATATATATATATATA